CTTCCTCTTTACAAGATCACTTTGTTCTTGTCTTTTTCAGTTTGTTTCGCGGTCATCAACACTGTTGGGTCATTTAACGACGAAACTTTAGTATGATATAAGTGTTAAATTTGTAAAAAATGAAATGCATTGCATCTCAGCATTTTTAAAAGAACCAAAATCATATTCAAGTTTTCCTTTTTCAATGAAAAGATATTTCTGATATTTCTTAATATAAAAAAGTATTTTTTAGAATTTAGTTTACATTTTTCAAATTCTATTGAATTTAAGTTGGTAAATATTCATTCTGTCTTCAACTTCAAATTTCAAACAACATTATTTAAGGTGGTTCCACCAAAAATCAAAAATCTAATTTAATTTCTATTCTTTTTTTATGTTGGAGATGATTTAATCCAGGAAATTAACAATCCTTTTGAAGGAAAACAAGTTCACCTAAAAAAAGTTTCAAAAGGGTTGACCTATATAATAATTTAATATTGTGATTAGTAATTTTTGCTAATACACTGATGTTTAATACATTCTGGCGTAAGGAAGAAGGATTCGTAAATTTGATTTTCTCTTTGCATATGTTTTTTTTTTTTATACTTTGCTTTCAGTCAATAATGATAAGCCTAGATGCATTATTTTTTATAATAAAACCTTAAAATGCATGTTTTTTTTTATCATCAACTAAAATGGGGAAATCCATTACATTTAAATTTTTTAACCTTTTATATTGTTTATGGTTTGGACGCTTCTAGTTAGAATAAAATAAGTCTGTTTTTTTTTATATTAGAATTGTTGTTTGTGTTATTTTCCTAAATCTCAGTTTGCAACTCTAACAAAATTGACCCATCAATTGTTTCGTTTGATAATAATTGTTTGTTTTATATTACTTTTTTTTCTCTTCCAAATATTTTGTGAAGAAGAAATTTTTTTTAAATTATATAATATGTTCTGTGAATAAATGCCATTTTTATATCTAAGACTATTTTAATGATTTGGTGAATTAAGAAGACCAAGAATTTATCTGTTCTTTTTTGGAACTAAACAACGCTAGCGTTCTTGATAATGACGACCGATGGTCGAAAGTCCAGCAACAAAATACAATGAACTTTGGAATCTTCTTTGCAAATTTGATTAAGAATTTTACACCTGGTGCGCATTTTGAGAAACCTCAATAAAATTTTTACAAATCAGACTCAATCATGTGATAATTTGATTTATATATATATATATATATATATATATATATATATATATATATATATATACACACACACATATAGAGATTTTGCCTAATTGAATCGGAGAGGAGAGTTTGAATTCTTTTACGTGCTAATAGTTTGATGGAAAGATAAGACTGCTCTTGTGATTTTACCTCATATATATAAATAATTAGGACAGATTGAATAGAAAAAAACAAATTTAAGGGAAACAAAAAAAAAGATCAAATTATATGTCACCAAATTTAAAAAATATGGTTCCTTAGGTAGCAGCCATTTTTAGGAGAATTTCAACTCTGAATTCAAAATTTGTACATAGGGTTATATGGGATCTTGTGCCATTTTGTTTGCACCAATCTTTGTTTTTTGCCCTCAAAAATTTGGTTGGATTTCTGAACAATGTTTTTCAATGAACTATAATAAATTGTTTTATGTGCATGTTTCCAAAGTTGAATTAAAGGGACTGAGTTACTTGACCCTTATAGGGTTCAAAAAACGATGGGAAAACTTGTACAAAATCTAATATATATATATATATATATATATATATATATATATATTTAATACTTTTTAATAAAGGTCTGAAGAAAAACACTAATATTCCATTATTTGATTTATTCTTTGTTTTCGTAAGTTCGATGGATTCATTTTTAGTACAAATTCAAAAAATTGGTCCAAAAAAAGTTATTGTTTAAAAAAATCAAAATTTTGAAAATGTATAATATGAGAGTTCCCAATGGGACAAATTATTAGATCTTAATTGAAGGTTATGGATCATCAAAATGCGAGTTTTCAAAACTGGAAGGTTTTCTATATATATATATATATATAAATATTTTTTTTTTTTTTTTTTTTTTATATATATATATATATACATATTTACCACTTCATATTATCAAATATATTTATATATGATTGAATATTATCTTATTTTATATATATAAGAATATTTTTTGGACAAATTATATAAATTATATCCATTTTCATTGTATATATATAGTTATTTCTTAAAATAAAATGCATTGAATTTGCATATTTAGCATATTTATCAAAAATAATATTTTGCTGCTTATATTATGCATTTTTATATAAATAAAATAAAAAAAATATTTGCAAATATAAATCAAATATAATATGAAAATATATATAATATATATTTGAATTATTACATTTTTATATATAGCATAAATTTAAAACTTAGTTTAATATAAATTTAATTATTTTCAGGTTTTAAAATATGAAATATACTATTCTGTGGGTAAATATTGAAAATAATGATGATGGCTAAATATTACATGGCAAAAAAAATTTTTTCAATTTTTTTTTTTTTTTTTTTTTTTTTAAAAAATTACATTATAGTGTTTTATAAGTTTCAAAAATACAGTAAAAAAAATTGTGCCAATTAACAAATATTAAATTGTGGTTTAATGAAAAAATTGTAAAAAGTTTTGTATCAAGTGTTTTCAAATACCTTACAATGCAACAATATGAGATAATATGAAAATGTATGTCTGTGATATTTCATGTTATGTGACCCATGATTTTTAATCAGCATTTTAAATTGACAAGGAAATGACTGAAAACTGGCGTTATGATTATAGTCTTCCATTCAAAATTAATTTATGAACAGATCTAAACGTTCTTTTTTACCATCTGATAAATGAATCTCTCCGTTTATTCTTTTTAAATATTATACTGTCCTCATTTGAGGAAATTGGAACTTGCGTCAAATCACCTGGAAAAGAAACCGCATAACATCCGACATTTTTTAATTTTTAAAAAAAAAAAATGGACAAATATTTTTATTCATACAGTAAAAATTACAGCATTTTTTTTTACAAATTTATTGTTAAAAAATGATGCTATTTTATAAATTTTTTTTTTTTTTTCATATAAACATAATTTGTTCTTTGTTTTGATAATTTCCCTGATGCGTTTAGAAAGCATTTGTGCTGTTCGTGCATTTACTATTTGTAAAGGATGTTATATATATATATATATATATATATATATATTACACTGTTACATTAGAACATGTAAGTTACTACTACAAAATTAGTGTAGTGGATATTTACATGTTCTAATGTAAGAGTGTCTAATATTTATTGCTCTACTCTTGTACTGAGCCCAGTTTTAATTAATGTTTTGAACATTTGGGATTTTATTCCTCGTTCTTTTACATTTGGATATGCACACACACACACACACACACACACATGCACATATATGTGTGTGTGTGTAAACAAGAAATGGGAACGTCTCTATCAATGCTTTTCGTCCCCTGAAGCACTTTATCAAGGTAAATGTAAGGGTTTGATGTATTTATAAACAGATGTAAAAAATATGGTTGTTTTCAATTTTTTTTTTTAATTTAAGAGACACTCATAAATATTCAGGTTAAGAAACTCTAAGTAAGTTACATTTACTTTTAATAAGTGGCTTATTCGTTATTACACAAACACACACACACACACACACATCTATATATATATATATAGAGAGAGAGAGAGAGGGAGATATAGATATATACACGCAAATATATATAATATAGAGAGAGAGGGAGATATAGATATATACACGCAAATAAATATATATATAGAGAGAGAGATATAGATATATACACGCAAATATATATATATATATATAGAGAGGGAGAAATATATATACATATATATATATATATATATATATATATATAGAGAGAGAGAGAGAGGATATATAGATATATACATAAAATATATATATATATATATATATAGATATAGATATATACACGCATATATATATATAGAGAAAAGAGAGATACATAGATACACCCACGCATATATATAGATATATACACGCACGTAGATATATACATGCACATACACACACACATATATATATATATATAAGGACTGGATTTTTCCTTTATTAATCCGATATGTTTTTATTTTATTGTTTAAACATTATTTCTAGTGCATACCGGTATTTGAGTAAAGGGAATATATTGTTTAATAAATAAACAGATTATCTACTCAAATATGGGTAGCCACTAAAAATATCCGCATGCATATATATATATATATATGCACACAACGATATTAACATGTTCAAATAGTTAAATAGATATGAACATGGTTATATATATATATATATATATATATATATATATATATATATAGAGAGATATAAACTTGATATTCACATGGTTATATAGACATATATTAAATTGTTCATTTGACATATAAATGAAATTTATATTTTAATAGGTGTCTTGTTTGTCTTTTTTTTTAACTGTGTATTACTTCTACCGGTTCGTGTTTATCGTGAGTCTTAATAAAAATATGTCCCCTATAATAGGGTTCGAACCTGCATGCATATGCATATATATATATATATATATATATATATATATATATATACCACTGACTCAGACGGTGTGCTCTCCTACTAATGAAGGATACGGGTTCGAACCCTGCCATAAAGCATATTTCATCTATAGATAGATATGAACATGCTGTTAGGGATAAATATTTTTCTGTTGATCTTCTATAATAATCGAGCTACCGGAAGTCAGAAATCTGCTTAAAAATCCCATTTGTCGGCTCGGGAAGAAAGTGACCCGTGAACAGTCGAGAGTACACAGGCGGTCTAAGAAGGAAAGACGTCTGAAAACTATACACTGGAGCTGAGAATTCTTCGGCCTGACCAAGGAACACTTTCAAAAAATACAGTGATCTTGTTTTTTTAAGTCAAATTTTAGGAATGGGGTCGAGGCCTAGAATATTTCAGCAGCATCAAAATGGAATGCTA